TCATTAATGAATTAGTTTCTGACTTAATAGTATATAGTTTGTAATTTAAAAAATGTAAGTCTCTTCATTTTAATAACCACACACCTCACTATAAAACACTGTAAAATGATAATGGACACTTGTATAAAGGCAAAAGTATGAGCTTTGGAACCAAACCAAGTAGGGATTAAATAAACTTCATAGTTTAGTGTATGTGTGACCTTTGACAAGTGCTTGGGTCTTTTGGAACCTTGCTTTCGAGTGTGAAGTGGAGATACTAATGCCTACTTTTCAGGATCCTTGTGAAAATGATATGCACTAATTACGAAAGTGCTCATTACCTAGAATACTTTCAGTTCCTTCTTGATCTCCTTTTTTCTTTTTAAAGAGAGGACTTCCTAACAAACAAAACAGGCCCATATCTGACTGATGGTAGGCTGCTCTATTTACCATTTTTGAAATGATGACATTTTTGTCTGACAAAATTTTAACTCCAACTGTGTCTGAATGAGCTCCTTACCTTCCTTTTTTTCTATTCTAATAATAAAAACACATGATATCATGGGAACTTCCTTCTAAATCAGATTAATTTAGATGATCAAATGTGACCCCAAACTGACATCTTGGCCTACCCTTAATCAAAGCAATGTCTCAAATATTGGATTTTTTATTGCTGATACCACCCCACCACCACCCCATATCATTTTCTTGTGCTGCCTAGTTTGTCTTTCACTGGTAATATTTCAACTAAGTATAATCATCATTACCATTTCCCAAAGGAGGGAACTGCAGATTTATAAACAGAACCGTTGCCAAACAATATACCTCTCTTGCATAGGCAGTTCTGCTAGAAGCTGGGTTAAAATGCCATGAAGTTGAGAAGCAGCACTTAGGAATTAATTATGTTTTTCTCATTTAGTAAATAGAGATTGTCATGATGTTTAAACAGTACAAAGAGATGAGTCCTCTAGCTTTCAAAATGAATGACAACCAAATTGACAAAAAAGTGGCTAGGGGGCTTATTTATTTTTGTCAGCATTGCTTCTCAGGCTAGTTAATCCAAAGACATTTCCCCCTGATTTATGTCAGACAGTTTCAGTGTCTACCCATCTTAAAATCATTGGTTTCATCTGAAGCCTTCTGAGATTTTCTCGTACATGAGTGATGCATTCACGGAGCGTGGCTATGTGAACTGACACAGGACTAATGCAAGCAGGTGGCTGCTTTCTGCCACCTTTATTACCTAAAGCACTGTGGTTCAAGAAGTGAAAGCTAATGTCATATTTGAAACTCCTACTCATTTCAGGTGAACTGAAGGTCGGCATGAATCCTGAGACAGTAAACTTGTTATATTTTATTTATCTCTGATCTACTAGTAGACTGAGTCATATTTGTAAAACACCACTTCAGTTGATTTCAACTTGTCTTGCACAGTAGGCTTCTGACTTGGTATACTGTCTGTGTGCAAGCACAGGTAAATTGAAGCTCAACAAAAATTCGTGTTTAGACTTATTTACAGAGGATTTACTTCCATGGTAGTTCTCT